AGTAGTAGTTGATGATGGTAGCAAGAGGAAACACAATGTCCAAATACACGGATGTTGATAGATGACATGACACGTAAAGTTCAGTTGTAATTGTTTCTATTCAGTGACATGGAAAGCAAAATCATTAAATCAAAGTAAGAATGACAGATGTTTTGAAGTGGAGGAAAGGGAGGAGCTGCAACATGGAGACCTATTAAAAAATAAAAAGTGAACATACCAGAAATGTAGTATGACTGTTAAAAATCATCAAGGATAGTGAGCTAAAGTTTAAAAGAACTCTATCAATAACTGTGTGTGATAATTTTCAGCTTTGTTTTGTTTCATGGAGTGCCCAGTGACCTTCACAATAGCCCTATAAAATAGACACCATTGTCATCCCTATTACAGAGCTGAAGAAATGCAGAAACTCATAGAGATTAAGGAAAGTACTCAAGATCAGTAGTAGCAAGAATTGTTTTCTGGATTTGAAGACATACACACCTGCCACCACACTTTCTATTTCCATAAACGTGTATTCTATGTACACACCAAATATGAAATTAAGGCAAATTGGGTCATCTTTCAGCCATTTTCCAAGATAAAAACTGAAGCATGAGAACAAAGGATCTAGGCCATGATTGCAATTTTGTTTTCTGTGTGATGAGATGCATCTGTGAAGTTTCCACAAATAGAAGATGGCCTTAGCTCTCACAATATCCATATTTCAGTGGAGAAACAAGCCATAAAACAATCATACAACGGTAAAATAAGTACTCTAATTGATGTTCAAGGGAACTACAAAGGAGGAAGTGTAAATTATTCTCAGGGGAGATGAAAAAAAAAGGTGTCAACAAACATTTCCCAGATGGTGAAACTGGGTGGGTAGAATGAACCCAGACTCCTTAGGGAAGGAATGGCGCATACAAAGGCTTGGAAAAACCTGCCAGGCCTGAAGGTGGTCCTTCTGGGAGGAGATGTGGAAGGTGGGCTGGGAACAGCTGGAGAGCTATTTAAAAATCAGGAGGGAATGACACAAGACCATTTGCAATTTATGGAGAAAACACTGGACTCGGAAGACATATCGGAACGGGTGTGGAAAGGAATATTTAAGGCAAAGGGACCACTAAAATACTTATCAGTAACTGGAAGAGAAAAAGCCAATGTAAAGAGATGAAGAAATACATTCCTGACTAAAGACATTTTGTAAACATGCGTTTAATTTTAACACACATTGCTGGTATCAACCCATTCTTGATATATCTAGCCCTAAAAAAAGTCTACATTTTAAAAGTTTTTATGATTTGAAGAAAAATTAATTCCTATGAATAATTAATAATGAACACATTTTAAACTCTCCCATCAAGGGATTGCATGTGAGAGTTAGTAATTTCATTTTTAAGACATAATGGGGGGCCAGCGCTTTGGTGTAGTGGGTAAAGATGCCGCCTGCAGATCTGGCATCCTAGGTGGGCACTGGTTCTAGTCCTGGCTGCTCCACTTCTGATCCAGCTCTCTGCTATGGCCTGGGAAAGCAATCCTTGGGTTACTGCAGCTGCATGGGAGACCTGGAAGAAGCTCCTGGATGCTGGCTTCAGATCAGCCCAACTCTAGCCATTGCAGCCATTTGGTGGGTGAACCAGCAGATGAAAGACACCTCTCTCTCTCTCTCTCCCTCTCTCTCCCCCTCTCCCCCCCGCCTCTCCTTAACTCTGCTTTCCAAATAAATAAATCTTAAAAAAAGACTTAATGAACATATAAATTTTGTACACATTTATTCTAGACAGTTTTTTTAAAGATTGCATCTATTTATTATTTATTTATTTGAAAGACAGAGTTACAGAGAGGCAGAGGCACAGAGAGGGAGGTGTTCTATCTGCTGGTTTATTCCTCAAATGGCCACAAGCAATGGCCTGAGCTGAGCTGATCTGAAGCAAGGAGCAAGAAGCAAGAAGCTTCTTCTGGGTCTCCCATGCAGGTGTGGGGGCCAAGCATTGCTTTCCCAGGCCATAACAGAGAGCTGAATCAGAAGAGGATCAGTCAGGTTTTGAACTGGTGCCCATTTGGGATGCTGGGGCTGCAGGCGGCAGCTTTGCCCACTGTGCCACAGCACCAGCCCATCTAGACAGCTTTTAAACATCCTCAAAGAGGGGCCAGCCTTGTGATGTAGCACATAAAGCCTTTGCCTATGATACCAGCGTCCCACTTGGGTATGGGTTTGAGTCTCAGCTGTTCCACTTCAGATCCAGCTCTCTGCAAATGCACCTGTGAAAGCAGTGGAAGATGGCCCAAGTGCTTGGGCCCCTACTCCCATATTGGAGATCCAGAGGGAGCTCCTAGATCATGGCTTCTGAACAGCTCATCTCTGGCTGTTGCGGCCATCTGGGGAGTGAACCAGTGGATGGAAGACCTCTCTCTCTCTCTCTCTCTCTCTCTCTCTCTCTCTCTCTCTCTCTTTGCATCTGGCTGATGCAGCCATTGGGAAAGTGAAACAGTGAATAGCAGCTCTGTCTCTCACCCTCTCTCTTTCCTCTCTTTCTCTTTCTGTAATCTCTGCCTTTCGAATAAATAAATAAATCTTTAAAAAAAAACAGTTTAAAAAGTGTCCTGAAAGAATCCAACTATGTTAATTTATTTTTTGTTAATTTATTTTATTTATTTATTTTTGACAGGCAGAGTGGACAGTGAGAGAGAGAGACAGAGAGAAAGGTCTTCCTTTGCCGTTGGTTCACCCTCCAATGGCCGCCGCTGCAGCTGGCGCACTGCGCTGATCCGATAGCAGGAGCCAGGATCCAGGTGCTTTTCCTGGTCTCCCATGGGGTGCAGGGCCCAAGCACCTGGGCCATCCTCCACTGCACTCCCTGGCCATAGCAGAGAGCTGGCCTGGAAGAGGGGCAACCGGGACAGAATCCGGCGCCCTGACAGGGACTAGAACCCGGTGTGCCGGCGCCGCAAGGTGGAGGATTAACCTATTGAGCCACAGCGCCAGCCTAATTTATTTTTTAATTAATGCTAATATAAACAAACATATGATAATTAACCTACATTGTGTTTAAAAATAAGAGAGAAATAATAATATACAATGGCATCTTGCTTTCAAGTAAAAATAACAGAATAATACTTGTATTTATATTTATAGATATATTTTATATCTGATATTAAAACTTTTAATTGGTATTTACTATTTGGATAACATTTTAAAAATGATTTTTAGAATGTCTACAAATCTGAAACTGTTTCCTATGTGTTTTAGGATATTCTGTATTTTATTTTGTAAAAAAAAATGAGATATTCTTCATTAAAATTCTCTATTTGAGCCAGCAGTCATTTCTATTTTAGTATGAAATAGCTTATCCAGAATCCCCTAGTTCTTTATGCATGGCTAAAATAACATTCTCACTGAGAAGTAAACTAGGGTTGTTTGATGCCATTTGACACTTTGTGTCAAGTGTAACAGTAGGAGACAGCCAAGTCAGAATCCTCCACACCCACAGGGCAGCCTCAGAGCAAAACATCAGGAGTCAGGAATACACTATGCCAAATTTGTCCAGAATCTGGCCTGATTAACACATCTTTTTCTTGTTGTCCTCTGTGCTCATGGCTGCATTTCAGATGGAAAATGAGGAAACTCCTTTAAAGTAGAAAGTCCCACATGATTTCATTGACCCTCAAGCTTAAAAAAGTTCACATCAGCATTCCTCTGCTGTCCAAAGAAACCCAGTCCTTGAGCTAAGATGTTTACAGCCATTGTAAAATGGCACCAGATGACACCAGGACCTGCACTCAGGATCCATTGAAAATAACCCCCCAAAGAAAAAGAAAGAAAGCCATTATGTCATTGTTAATTTGTTAAATCAGAAGCAAGGCTATTTCTACTGAATTAGAGCTGTGGAACTGCAAATTGATGATCCCCAAGGGAAGACGAATAACCCAAGTTCACAGCAATAGTTGAAATTGCCACATGCAATACAATTCAGTACCTTCCCCCAAAGAGCCAAATTCTCAAAATCTCATTTAACAACCTTAACCTTCATTCTCAAAGTGGTGTTTGCTCAGTAAATGAAAGTTAAAATTGAGTAGCGGTACCCTTTTTTTTGCTTTCTTTTTTTTTTTTTTAAAGGCGTTGGATTACAGTTTGTAATGATCTAAGGACTAGAAGTCACAGTTTTATAGACAGAAAGAGGGAGGGAAGAAAAGCACGCCATCCATGCTGGTCAGTTTCCCCTTTGGAAATATCTGATCTTATTATGTGTCACAGTCTATCTGTCCCTGATGTTATTTTTAAACCCTGAAGAAGGAGGAAACTGATTGATCTTAAACGATTTCTAAAAGCCTATTTTTCCCCCATACTTTGCCCATTATAAGCCACAGGGATCAACCTGCCCCCTGCTGATAGACTCCCTAGTTTGAAAACACTAATCAAACAAGATAGTGAAATGATCAAAGTGCAGTAGTCTGATTCCTCCATTCAGTGTACGACATATCTGTGGACTGAAGGAGAGCAGGAGATTTCAAATAAAGACTAAAAGAACTCTTTTAAAGCATTTCTTTTGTACTTGAAAATTTGTTCATTTTGAGCTATAAAAAAACAGGGGAACTAAAAGCCTAATAAATTCCTTTGATCTGGACATGGCAAGTTCTTAAAGAGAAAGTCTAAAAGGTTGCAGACTGTCTGCTGTTTGCTGAAAATTAAAATCCAGCAAATGCTCCCACGGCTCCCCCACGGCCTCCTCCCCACCACCCTGAACGTACTATACATGCTATCCATTTTAGGAAGAAGAGAAACTACTAGAAGTGATTACAGTGTGATCTAAACCGCCTCACATATTTGACGAGAACATAGGGAACTCATCATTTTCCAGTAACAGCAAGGGTACTTTTCAACCAGAGCCTCTCCTGGAAAGGTTGACCTGAGTCACAGGAATCACTAGGTGAATGAATGAGGGGAACTCACCAACAGCTATCCAGCTAGACATCGACCATTCACTAGTGACATCTTGATCTTTGAACCTGTAAAGTTGTAGTTTTTTTTCAAGATTTACATTTTATTTATTTGAAAGGCAGAATTACAGAGAGAGGGAGAAGAGATAGAGAGAAAGAGGTCTGCTATCCTCTGGTTCACTCTCCAAATGGCCTGAACAACCAGGGCTGGGCAAGGCTGAAGCCAGGAGCCAGGAGTTTCTTCCAGGTCTCCCTCATGGGTATAGGAACCCAAGCACTGGGTCATCTTCTGCTGCTTTCCCAGGCCATAGCAGAGAGCTGGATCAGAAGTGGAACAACCAGAACATGAACCAGCACCCATATGGGATGCATGTACTACAAGCTGGGGCTTTAACCTGCTGTGCCACAGCACTGAGCCCAGAAGTTGTGGGTTTCAAAATAATGAAGCAGAAACTGAATAAACACCAGCACTCAAGTCCTTAAGAAGACATTTGCATATATTTTAGAAAGTCAAAATTCTGTACCTACTAAGACAAAATATGACCACAACTAGAACTGATTCCTAATCAAAGTGAGTTATATACCTGAGCCTCAACAGTTCCATCTTAGAACTTGCTGGAAATCCTAAACATTTTAGACCCTACCCTATATGAACTGAACCTGAATCTCTATTTTTACAAGATCCTGGGCAACATTTATGAATACTAAATCCTGAGCTATGCTTTTGAAAGCTGCTACATGTTTTATTTTCAATTTGTGTGTTGAATTTATTAGTAAATTTAAATGGTACAAAAATTGCAGTGTTTCATTTGAAATTCTGAAGTAAAGGAGACCAGTAATTAAAATTGCTAATAGCATGCTTTCCTGACACTATTTCCTATTTCTTGCAGATTTTTCTGGGAGTTTGGGGTGGGATGAAGGTGTGATTTTGTATTACACATGGGGTTGTTTCCTTTTTTAACTAAATTACCTTTATAGCAGAATTTTTATTGAGACTTTTCCTAGTGCAAAATGTTTTGATATAAGGGGTAAAAAAATGACAACACATTATCCAAATCCTCAAGTTTATAAAATGGTATTAGAAGACTAGATAAACAATTGTTTAACACAAATATATAATTGGTTCTGAGTTTACCTGACATAAAATACACTAAGAAGAACAGAAAAAAATAAACTTGATTGTTCTGGTAAGCCAGATGCCTTCCTTAAGACAACCACACATTTTCTAAATACAGTTATGATGAGGATGTCAATTTTATGTGATGAGGTGAGTCTAAGACCTAAGCAAAGGAAATCGCAGGACCATATCATACACACCAAATGGACCAAATCTGGGAAGTGATCTAGCATGGTCCATGAGAAATTTCTAAAAAGAATTAAGGACACTAATGGAAATTAATATTTGTGGTTTTGTTTTTAACTGGCTATTTCAGGAATCCTGGAAGATAAAGATACATATATACATACATGTATTTATATACCTGTATATTACCTAGATACACAGAGAAATGGATAGATGTCAGCTGGCTAGACAAAGAAGTAGATCAACAGAGAGATGATAACTAGATAGACATCTGGCATTCATATTGGATTATTTGGCTAGGACTTGGCAATCTTTGCCATTCTTTGGCTTATGGATCTCCGGTTTTGTCTCCACATGGAAGTCTTCCTGTGTTTATTTCTTTTCCCCAAAATTACCTTTTTTGGAAGGATACCAGTCATACTGGATCAGGGACCCACTCTTCTCCAGTGTATTTCACCTTAACTCATCACATCTGCAATTAAATTATTTCCAAATGGGCACACATTCTTTGGTGCTCTACCACATATGGATTGAGGGTCAGAATTTAATTCATTACCTATATTTGCATACATTTTGCCACAGGTGTTTATCTGTAATCATGCAAATATCCATCATCATGCCCTGGTCTCCCACAGGGGTGCAGGGGCCCAAGGACTTGGGCCATCTTCCTGGTTTTTCCAGGCGCCATAGCAGGGAGCTAGATTGGAAGTAGAGCATCCAGTACTGCATGTGGCAGCTGTACCGCTACACCACACAGCTTTTAAATTATTGGTGTACCTTTTTCAGTGTTGTTTGCTGACCGATCTTCACCATATAAATCTCCTAAAACTATAATATTCCAATATTTAGACTGCTTATCTATCAGAAATTAGAACTTAGATGATGCATAAAATCTCATAAATTTAAAAACTATATTTTGCTTATTTGCAAATTGGCCTTGAGGAAAAGATCTATTCCTTGAACTCCAAATATTGTATATTCAGCATCTCCATCTCTATGTCTAATAAACATCTTAAATTTAAATTGTCACAACTCCTGATCCTTTTCTCTGACAAACCTTTTACTCTTGTTTGTAGTCTTCTCAAAAAAAAAAAAAAAGATAATAATAACCCCCAAGTCCAAACTTTTTGCTTCAATCCAAAACCACAAAGTCCTTTTATACTCTTTCTATTCCCTCCCATATAATACTCAGCCCACCAAATTATCCTATAGGTTTTAGTTTCAAGATATACTTAAAATAATCCCACTAAGGCTACTCTCTGTCTAGAACAACATCACCTGTCAACTGCTATTCCAATAATTTTTTTTTGTCTTTCTATGTCTATTCCTGCAGGTGAATGTCGACTCAGAATATTAGCTGGGAAAGGATAATGTAACATTTTTGCATAAAGCCCTCTCATGAATCCATATCTCATCTACAGTAAAAGTGGACAGTTTGCACACTTATCGCAGATATCTTCATTATTTGATACTCAAAATGTGGTTGTCAAACCAGCGACATCAATAACACATTGTTAGACATGTAGAACCTCAGGCACATCCCATACTTTCTGCATTTAAAATACGCAGGTCAAATATTTCTAGGTTATTTGTATACACACGGGCATTTGAAAAATATGGCCATAGACAATCTTCCCATCTGGCTCTACTTTGATATAATTTTCCTTTTTTAAAAAAGATTTATTTATTTATTTGACAGAGCTACAGAGAGAGAGAGAGAGAGAGGGAAAGAGAGAGAGAAAGAGAGAGAGAGGGGGAAAGAGAGAGAGAGAGAGAGAGAGAGAGAGGTCTTCCATCCACTGGTTCACTCCCCAATTGGCCTCAATAGCCAGAGCTGTGATGATCTGAAGCCAGGAGCCAGGAGCTTCCTCCGGGTCTCCCATGTAGATGCAGGGGCCCAAGCACTTGGGCCATCTTCTACTGTTTTCCCAGGCCACAGCAGAAAGCTGGGTTGGAAGTGGAGCAGCCGGACTCGAACCGGCGCCCATATGGGGATGCCAGCCCTGCAGATGGTGGCTTTACCCGCAACGCCACGGCGCCAGACCCTCTGATATCATTTTCTATCATCTGCCCTCACCACTCACTGTGTCCCAGGAAAGTGATAACTTTGCTAGTCCATGATCATATTAGGTTATTTCAAAAGTCATTACCTTTTTTATTTGCTGTTGGCATAGAACTAAGTGTCTCAGTCTAATAGTAAATAAGCAACTGAGTACAGCCAACAACTACCACAGTGATTGTAAAAGCAGATCCTTTCCTAATCAAGCCTTAAAATGAATTTACCACGTCAAAGCCCTTAATTTTTGTTTTCTTAGTCTGAATCAGAGGACCCACAGAAGTTGATCTTAAGAATTATAATACAAATGTATCTTTTTTACTCTTTGCATCTCTTTAAGTGTTTTGGGATCAGTCTTTATTCCTCCCCCCACCTCCCACACTGTCGAATTTCTTCTTGTTAACTGATCATGTGTTTATAATGCCCAAAATATGTAATATAAAATGTGCAAGTAAAGCAACTGTTATAAAATCTTTCAAGACAGGAAAATCTAAATGGGTGGAGAACAAATCTGCATAGACTAGCTGGCAATGTGCTTGGTTATTGGTCATTGGTTTGTTAAGTAACCCTCAATTTAATCTATATAGACATCAGTAAATTCAAAAACAGTAATTGGACAATTGGATGTTGATGTTGCCTCCCAGTTCAATAGAATTTGTATTTAGAATATATTAAATTAGTTCTTTCTTTTTTAAAAAAATTATTCATTTGAGAGACTGAGGAAGAGAGAGAGAGAGAGAGAGAGGGAGGGAGAGAGAAAGAGAGAGAAACAGGCAGAAAGAGAGAGAGAAAGTTATGCCACAACAGTTAGGGCTGGCCTGGAGCCAAGGCTGGGAGCTAGGAGCACAATCCCACGTGGGTGGCAGGAATCCATTTAGTCCCTGGAGCCATCACCGCTGTAGCCCAGGGTCGGTTTTGGCAGCTTACTGGAGTCAAGAATCAAACCTAAATGATCTGATATGGCAGGTAGGCATCCTAACAGTTAGTTAGGCTTAATATTTGAAACTTAATTGCATTTTTTTTGACAGGCAGAGTGGACAGTGAGAGAGAGACAGAGAGAAAGGTCTTCCTTTTCCGTTGGTTCACCCCCCAATGGCCGCTGCGGCCAGCGTGGTGTGCCAGCCGATCCGAAGCCAGGAGCCAGGTACTTATCCTAGTCTCCCATGTGGGTGCAGGGCCCAAGCACTTGGGCCATCCTCCACTGCACTCCCGGGCCACAGCAGAGAGCTGGACTGGAAGAGGAGCAACCAGGACAGAACCTGGTGCCCGACAGGGACTAGAACCCGGGGTACTGGCGCTGAAGGTGGAGGATTAGCCTATTGAGCTGTGGCGCCGGCCTCCTATTTGCACTTTTAAAACAAATAATTTCATACTTCTGCTGTGGTAGTTCATGCAAGAGAAATTTTCACTTTTGCTGTAGCCCAGAAAACATTTATTAAAATAAATTATTTCATGCTCTATTGCTGAAAGTGGTTTCAATCATGACTTTTGACCTAGGTGGACTACACTAAACCTTTTTATTCCTAAATTATAGGCAGAGACACAGGTATACTTGAGGCAGATTTTAACCAACACACAGCATGCATTTATTGTATGTAATACACGCAAACCACTGCTACAAGTCTGGGATTTACAGAGATATATAAAATGGCTATTCAGAAGGCATCCTTCTTTAAGAAATTATCATTTATGGCCCTTTATAAATTTAAGCAAACTGCATGTTCATTAAGCACCAGGGAGAAAATAAATCACCTCTAATCACATCATCTAGATTAGAATACTGGTTCTCAAACTTTAGTATCCAATGCAATCATATGGAGAGTTGATGGGCTTATTAAAACTGAGACTGTGGGGTAGCACTCCCTACTCCCAGAGTTTCTGATCTAATAGAGGTAATTTGTATTCCTGAATTCCCAGGTAATGTTGATGCTGAATGTTCACACTTTGAAAACCACTAATCTAAAGAAATCAGATTTAGTATTTTAGCATTTATCTTCCCAGGTTTTCTCACTTATATTTTTAAACTCCTGATTTAAAAATTTTGATAACCATGTGTATCAGGAGACTTCAAAAAATCCACGGAAAAATGTGTATCATGAGAAAACAATGTGTGGATTTCTAAATGCTTTTGTGTTCCAATAAACATATTTTCAAGAAACTTTTTGAAGGACCTGCGTAAAATGTATGTACGAGCCCTCACACACTAGAACAGTTAAAAACATTCAGTATTGTTTATGTATGTTTTGAAACTACTTCTTCACTTAACATGATATTACAAACCTTATTCTCATGTCATTATATGTATTTGCTTGTCATTTTTATTTGTTTTGTTTTTCTTTTGCTTTTGTTTTAATTTGGAAGGCCAGGAGGGAAAGAGAGAGGGGATTCCCATCTGCTGGTTCAGTCCCCAAAACACAACAATGGTCAGGGACTAAAAGTTGAGGGTGGGAACTCAATCCAGGTCTCCCATGTGGGTATCAGGGACACAATTAGTTGCACTATTAGCACTATCTCTCAGAGACTGCATTAGCAGGAAGCTGGAGTCAGGAATGAAACCAAGAACTCAGCTATGTGATGTGGGCCCTAACAGCTAGCCTAAGTTCATGCATCTTATTGTTTTGGACACAAATATGAAAGCCTATTCCAATAATAGATTTTGCGTACTGGCATCTTTTGCCTCAGAAATATTTCTCCCTATTTCCCTGCCAGTATAGGTGGAAAAACCTTGACTTGGGAAGAACTCTTCAGAAAACTTCAACTCCTGTGCTCCAGAGAAGGAGATAACTGAATGCTGAAATCATTGCCTTCTGCCATAGCAAAGTTATATGCATGATCATCATTTTTAGAAGTAAAACAAGTAACAACCAGTGATAATAGGCTACAGAGCAAAGACTACTTAACTATAATGGAATAGAATTAGAGCTAGGTGAACTTGCAGAGGAAGGTGAGGAGAAACGAAGAGGTTTCACTGAGGAGATAAAACTCTGAACAGGTCTGCAAAGTCTTAGAGTGGTGGCTGCGTAACAGCTGTACATCATATGCTTGCCCTCCATACCATCCTTACTTTAGAGTCCTCCACCTTGGAACTGGCTGTCTGGCTTTATAACATGACACAACCTGTTCTGGCTAGAGTTGACCAGCAGCTGACCAAATGAAAATTAATTTATAACTGTAATGAGCCAACTGACTTTTAGAATGTGAACTTTTTAAAAATTTTATTGTTGAGGCATTTCTATTTTTAAACATTTATTTATTTATTTATGATTTCTAAGGTGGAGCAACAGAGAGACAGAATGACAATGATCATTAATTGCTAATTCATTCCCTAAATGAAACTAAAAGTCTGGACTGGGCCAGGCCTAAGCTAAGAGCCTGGAACTCAATCAAGGCCTCTCACATGGGTGTCAGGGACCCAAGTACTTGAGCCATTACCTGCTGTTTCCCAGGGAGCTCATCAGAAGGAAGCTGGATTGGAACCAGTGCCTGGACAAAAACCTAGGCATTCCAACATGGGATGCAGGTGTCCCAAACAGCATCTTAACATCTCCACCCAACACCTGGCCAAGAATATGAGTTTTGATGTGTAGTGTATGAGTCCATGCATAGTTGAGTTGAGTTTCATGGCCAAATTCATGATTATAGAATGAGGGTGTACTTGATGATCTGAGGGCATTCTAATGCTGACCCTGGGTGAAGTTAATGAAGTCTTTACTTCCAAGACCTCCATATCCTTAAAGTTGAAAATAGATCTTTGTGGCCGGTGCCATGGCTCACTAGGCTAATCCTCCACCTGCGGCACCGGCACCCCAGGTTCTAGTCTCGGTCGGGGTGCCAGATTCTGTCCCGGCTGCTCCTCTTCCAGTCCAGTTCTCTGCTGTGGCCTGGGAGGGCAGTGGAGGATGGCCCAAGTACTTGGGCCCCTGCACCTGCATGGGAGACCAGGAGGAAGCACCTGGCTCCTGGCTTCGGATAGGCGCAGCACACCAGCCGTAGTGGCCATTTGGGGGGTGACCCAACGGAAGGAAGACCTTTCTCTCTGTCTCTCTCTCTCACTGTCTAATTCTGCCTGTCAAAAAAAAAAAAAAAAAGAAAGAAAATAGATCTTTGTATAAAATAAGAATGAGAATAGGAAGAGGAAGAGAAAAAGAAGGGTGGGAGTATGGGCAAGAAGGGTAGGGTGGGAAGAATTAGTAGGTTTCTAAATTTATATATATGAAATGTGTGGTTTGTATATCTTAAATAAAATTTTTCTAAAAATAAAACACAAAAAATAATAAAAGCTATTCTTATGGAAGCTAACTACATTTCTGATTTTTGTTACAAAAGGCACCAGGAGACAGTAATATTGAGACCTGTGTGGATTGGAACAAACAACAAAAACTAGATATTCCTTGGCTTTAGAATACATATTGTGCACAAATTTCAAAACAAAGAAAACTTCCTAGGAAATAGAATTTAAGATAAAAAATCAGAAGCAATATGTATCTTAGCCATATTTTATACTTGCTAACTTTTCTATTCTATAAACTAATTAATTTAAAAGCATTATACAAAAACATTCCACTAACCAATACACACATATAATTATTTACTCTTAAAATAGATAAGCAAAATAAACTCTTAAGAAACAGAAGCAGTCTAATTAGAAAATAGAAATTATTGTTAAGATGATCATTATAAGAAAATGAAGTTAATCTGTTCTCTTAGGAGTCAGTGAAGTGGTCCAAATTCAAATAACACTTTTTATGATGTATTCATCTTCCAAATTGCTTTTGTTATTGCTTTACATAGAAATTTATTTAAACGGCCTCTATGTCCACAGAAAGGAAGTTATATTGTAAAAATACTCCCTCCCATTAAGACTGCTTAATTTCTCTACATGAATAAAGTACAACTAAGATATTCAAAAACAAAACTCCCCAAAACATTAGCTTTCTGTTTTTCCTTTTTCCTTGACATCAGATCCACTGTGGGAGGGAAAGGACAGGAGGGAGCTTCTGATGAGTCTGAATTTATAAGCAAATAAATAAATAAATTAGAACCTAAACTAATATTCACGATAGATGCTTCATTTCTATGTATTCATAGAGGCTTTCAAAAGAGTAAACCTCAAAAACAACTACGGAAAAAATACCAGTACTCTTGTGTGTGTGTGCGTGTGTGTGTGTGTGTGGGGGGGGTCTCTGTATATATGTGCAGGCAAGTGGGTTGAAAACTAAGCCCAGTGGGGAAATATCTGTATTTATAAAAGTCTCCAGTGCTTATTGGATATTTCAGATTGAATATGACATTAATTTATAGAACTCCCATAAAAGTTCTTTTGAATTTAAATAGAATTTAACAATTTTTATATATCCCAGATAATAAATGATTTTTAAGTAATAAGGAATAGTATATGGAATCAGGATAAATTTAAATATTCCTTAGTTTTCAGGTGATATTTCAGGTACCACACTGTAGTTAGAGACATTATACTATTCTTTTCACTTCCTTTATATACCACAAGTTACTTCCCAGAGAAGAAGAAGAAAAAAAAAAAAAAAACTACAAGGCTCAATTAAAATTTCTCCACAAATGAAGTAAATACTAATTACAACATTAAGCTGTTAAAAGACAGGACAATTAAAACATCAAAATAGTGTCTACTTAAAGATTATTTTAATAATCACTATTTATTTGACGAACTTGCATAACCTGTGTACTGCCTAGTGAAAACAGTGATACATTAAATGGGAGAAATGTGTCATACTAATGAAACTAATTAAAAGTGAAAAGATGGAAAATTTTAATTAACTTTGTGAACTGGCTTTGTCTCTGTCAATTACCTAAATTAGACCCGAGAAACATGGGCAAAGTTTGTATTCAAGTTCAGACCAGAGTGCTGTGAAACAATTACTTGATGGGCAAGAGGTAAATCATTTCAATTGTATATTAGGGAAAGAAACAAATGAAATTAATAAAATCAAAAAAAAAAAATCAATGAAGGAGGAAATAAGGATGGGGTTGCAGGGAAATGATAAAAAGCAGATCAAAGTCAGCCCAGGGAAGAACTCCTGGCACAAGAAAAGAAACCGAGAGGCAAATCACATCCCTTCTTCTCTTTGTGCTGGCTAAAGAAATATGGATCATAGCCGATAGACAATGAGTGAATGGATATCTACTTGGCTGGTAGTCTGTTTGTTTGTTTTCAGTAATTGTGGAGTTATTCATTGAAATGTTTTTAAATAAATTTAGTAACCTTATTTTTATAAAAGAAAACTGCATCACAACTATTTTTTGCCTTTCATGCTATGCAGGGGATAACATACATATTCTATTCAAATGGTGCTTAAAGTGTAATTGGAAACAAAACCTATTTTTACATTGAAATGTATCCTCAAATAATCACTATCACACACAAAAGCAATTTACAAAAATATTCTCTCAAGTTTTTGAGCTAGATGAAGTTGAATATGTGTTGTACTGACTAGGGATACTCTAACAGTTGTGCTTTATCTTAATATTTTTAAGAACTTCTAAGTCAACTGCAAAGATGTGTATATTCTACCAATTCCTGGGATCTATTAAGAATGAGGCAGATTTCTAGGCAAAAGGATTAATACAATAATTTTTTTGCTTATTTTTGCTAAAAGATTTTGTGATTATCTACCATTGGAATTACAAAAAGGTTTCTTCTGAGCTAAAGCCAAATGATACACAGTGGCTATGCTATGTAATTTTGGATCAATATCCTACATTTTGAGCCAAAAAAAAGAATCCATGACAAATTAATTATCTGTGTCTTCCATGAGTGCTTTCTGGAGAGTGAGTGGGGTTTAGGGGATTTTTATCCCTCATATTTTTACATCCTGGTTTAATTCAGTCTCACTCATATTACAGATGACATGAAAGCCCTAATCATTTCAGTGCCCAAGATCACAAATCTAACTCATGTTCAAAAAAGGTTTAGAATGGAGAGTTCCTGATAATCATAGATCAATTATGTGTCATAAATATGTCATTATATGTATGCATTCTCACAGATAAATATATGATATACCATACACAGACATACTCTGTGTGTCTACAGGAGATCTACATCATGTTTTCCTCTAGACCAAAGATATATAGACACTCAGAAGAACTGATTTATGTACATTTTAAATAGAGTAGGTATACCAGTAAGACACATTGGCAGCTAATATGAAAGATATTGTAGTAATATTTTATCCCTCAGATCTAAATCTGTCCTATTCCTCAAGTATAAGTAATAACAGACTACCTCTGTTATTATTTTAGTAGCAAACAGAATGACTAACATTCAAACTGAGTCCCCTCTACAGTATCTTATATACCTATGGTTTCAAAACTTTCTATTGGACCTCAAGATTATTTTATGTTTTATTTACAAATAGCATGAAAATATGCCTGGATGATAAGCTGGTTTCTTTAACAATTACCTAATAGAGTGAAGAGTACTTGATCCTGTTTGCGGGAGAGGCAGATGTTTGGTGCAGCTATTAAGTTGCCAATCAGGATAGCCATATACCATATCAGAATGTCTGGTTAGAGTTCAAGCTACTCTGCTTTGGATTCAGCTCTGTGCCAATGTCCACTCTGGGAAATAGCAGATGATGGCTCAAGTTCTTAGGTGCCTGTCTCTCATATGGGACACCTGGATTGAGTTTCTGGATCCTGTTTCCTCCTGGTCCAGCCCCAGCTGTTGTGGGCGTTTGGGGAGTAAATCAGCAGACGGCAGATCTCTCTAGGACTGTCTCTCTGTGTCTCTCTGCTTTTTCAAATGAAATGAAAATAAATAAAACTTAAAAGTTGTATGAGAGGGATGGCAAATGGCATGCTAACTTTTTCACATTGGGATTTGGAAATAGAGTGGAATTAAAGGCAAACTATTTGTTGCAGTTCTATTCTGTTGCAGCAGATGATTTATCTTCTGTGAAAACTGCCATGACAGAAACTTGAAGTCAGTTTTTGTACTCCTGCTTGGCGACTGAGCTCAGTCAGTAACCATATACCAGCAAACTACTTAGCTTTTAGGTACTTTCAGAATAATTCTTCTAAACAAGCCACATGCACATAAAAATTGATTGTTGTTTTCCATGAGTGCTTTGGCAACTAACTGGGCTGCCGCCTTTATAAGTGATCGTGAAGCCAAATACCCAGTCACCCTCTTAAGGGGCAGATGAGATGAGGTCCTTCCAAAGGAAAAGGGAGTTACAAGACTTAGATAGTTAAGTTTGATACTGAACCTAATGTCTTTATCTCAGTTGCAAAATCGAATGACCAGGAATGGTTGACTAGAATTCATCCTAGGTTCAAGGGTCTCAATGGTCTCAGCAGACTTCTAACAAGATGTATTACCAATCTAGATATATACTTTCCTAACTCATGAGGGCAGATTTTAGTTCAAACACAATTGTAGAAGAGACTCCATAGAGAGAACATCCAGGGTCAGTAGTGACCATCTTTGAGGATTGAATTTCTACACATAATCTTGTCCTCCACCAAATGTTGAACTTATCGGAGTAATTATTTCTTTCTTTTGTTTTTTTCCCTCTCATTTCTAAATGTTTTTACATTCATATTGTGAAGATATTCTTTACATTTGTTAACTTTGTAAGAGTTACATGTCTGGGGCCAGCACTGTGGCACACAGTAAAGCCGCCACTTGCAGTACTGGCATCCCATTTGGGCGCAGGTTTGGTTCCCCTCTGCTCCCTGTTGCTGTGCCTGGGAGGGCAGCAGAAGATGGTCCAAGTGTTGGGGCCCCTGCACCCACACAAGAGGCCTAGAGGAAGTTCCTGGCTCCTTGCTTCAGATCAGCCCAGCTCTGGCCATTGCAGCTATTTGAAGAGAGAATTAGGGGACGGGGGATCTCTCTCTCTCTCTCTCTCTTCCTCTCTCTCTCTCTCTCTGTGTGTGTGCTATGCCTCTTTGTAGCTCTGAATTTCAAGTAAATAAATCTTTAAAAAAGTTACACGTCAGCAAATGTATTAATATTAATATTATTTCCAAGATTAATTTTATTAAGGAATATTAACAAATAATTATTTTGTTATGAACACATTTGAAGGCATAAATTTATTCTAGCAAATCCAGCTTCAAATTACTTGAGAATCACTTAATGACTTTGACAAACCCTACCATAGCCTACTTACTGACAGGACCAATAAGAGCAAGCTTTTATTTAATTACATGTATAAGATATTGTGAGGTAAAATTTACAGAAATAATGCCTAAAGATATAGTGTCTTCCTTAAAAGTTTAGGTATTTAGATATCAAATGTTTGAATAATGTATTTGCTAGGCAGATGTTTATATATTTTTATTAAGTTATTTAAAGACAGATGTTAATATTTAATTTAAAATGTGACTGCTTTATAACTGTGTCAACAGTTTTGTTCTATTTCTAAACTTAATCTTGTTTGAAATATTTTACTTACAAGAATCTAAAAAGGGGCCGGTGCTGTGCTGTAATAGGCTAAGCCTCCATCTGTGATGCAGGCATACTATATGGGCACTGGTTCCTGTCCTGGCTGCTCCTCTTCCTATCCTGCTCTCTGCTTATGGCCTGGGAAAGCAGTAGAAGATGGTCCACGTGCTTGGTCCCCTTATACCCCTCTGGGATATTCCAAAGAAGCTCTTGGCTCCTGGCTTCGGAATAGTTTAGCTCCAGCCTTTGCAGCCATTTGGGGAGTGAACCAACAGATGGAAGACCTTTATCTCTGTCTCTCCCTCTCTCTGCCTGTAATTCTACCTCTCAAATAAATAAATAAAAATCTCAGAAAAAAATCTAACCATAAATCAGATGGTGAGACATACATTTCTCAATTATAATATAAAATGTGGTTTTAATTTTATACAAGTAGGAATGTTAATATAACTATTAAACACATACCTAAATATATCCTATAGAACACTTTCTAGTCTGAGAAAAAGTCAGAGAAAGAGATGGGTGTCTTTATAATCAATATTTTTCAAAAACTGAAATTTCAATTACAAAAATAGGAAATCTCAAAAGGAAATCCCCTTTCTAATGGTGCTCCCATTCCTGGAGGTCCACAGAAAGGGTTTTCTGGATGTATGAACAATATTTTAAACCTCCTGCCGTTGCCAAGAAAGATAATCAGCCTAGAAGTGATGGAAAATTATGAGCTATGAACTGGTAATTCTAGGAACTCAGCTATAGTAATATATACAGACAATGCACCACATACAGCACTTTATTCAACAACAGATTACACACCTGACGGTGTCGTAGTGACATCAAAGCTGTCTTAGTTTCTGTAAATGCACTCTATGATGGTTGCACACTCCCCTAATGGCACAGTTCTTGGTATGTATTATTATTGCTAAGTGAAACATGATAGTACTTGGAGTTCCAGAAAGGAGAGAGAGTCATTTAGTTCCACATTGAAATCTTGCTCAGGACATTCATACTTAGTTTTGGGAAAAATGCTTGATATTTGTGACCCAAATACCCATTCCAAGAGGATGAATTTGGAAAGAATCATGGTAGCTCTGACTGTTCTCTCAAGAGGTTGTGATTTCTGCTGCTATACCTCCCACTTCCCTGCAGGTAGAGGGGCAGGCGTGCTTGCTGCATAGCCACAGCTGTCTTCACTTGTATCATTCGCTACCATATCTGCTTTGTAGTGAAACACTGAGCAGTGGTTATTATAAACTGAAATATGCCACCATCCCCAAGCCATATGTTGAAGCTCTAGCCTGTTAAGTTTACTGTACTTGGAAATAGGGATGATAATGAAATAATAAAAGGTTAAATGGGGTCATAAGAGTGGGACCCTAATCCAACAGAATGAGTATACCTATAAGAGGGTACATCATCTGCAATGCCAGCATCTCACATGGCACCAGTTTGGGTCCTGGCTGCTCCACTTCCAATCCAGCTCCCTGCTAATGTGTCTGGAAAAACCAATAGAAGACGGCCCAAGTTCTTGTGCACCTGCACCAGTGTGAGTGACCAGGAGGAAGCTTCTGGCTCCTGGCTCCTGTCTCCTTGCTTTGGTCTGGCCCAGTGCTGGCCATTTTTGCCATTTGGGGAGTGAGCCAGTAGATGGAAGATTCTCCTTATCTTTCTTTCTTTCTCTCTCTTTCTCTCTCTCTCTCTTTCTTTCTATATATAACTCTGCCTTTCAAATAAATAAAATAAATTTTAAAGAACAGAAAAGAGGAGGGGGAGATGCCATCTCTCTCTGCACACAAAAATAAAAAGCCATCTGAGGACAAATCTAGAAAGTAGTAGCATATAAACCAGGCCCTCACCAGTCACCAATCCTATTGGCAACTTGATCTTGAACTTCAAGTCTCCAGAACTGAAAGAAAATGAATTTATACTGTTCAGGTCTCCCAGCTGTGATATTCTGTTATGGTGGGTTGGCAGAGTAATAACAGTGGTGCACTGGTTTCATATCCCTGAATTTTAAATATTCAATAATTTAGTGCATGGACCAGCACACCTTGCAAAGCTGTAACATCCAGGAATTGGAAAAGTCTTGCATACACCTGACAACAGGGTTAAACAATGACTCCACGTAGATTAAAAATGATTCTTTGTGTTCCTAAATCTGAATATACAAAATACATGAAACCTGTATACCTTAAATAAAATCAAAAAATTAAAATAGAAAAATTATTAAAGTTTTAAATTACAGGTAATTTTGTTGCTATATATGACAAATGATAGAACACCATCTTCTCAAAAAAAGAAAAGAAAAACAATAAAAGACTAATATGTAATAATGCAGTATCTGAAAAGGACAAAAATGTTTTATCAGATTTGGAGAATATGTAAAGCAGTAAGTGGGCTCCCCTCTTGCCCAACAGTGTAGACTATACTCTATCTGGAGTATAGACAACAACTCCCCTCCCCCATATTTAAACTGCGTAAACTATAATTTTAGTAAATCAAGCAAAGAGCTAATCAAGTTTTGATTTGCTAATTACTTCTCAATTTGATTAGAGCTGGCAGCTAATCATCTCTGGAAATTTAAAGTCAATCTTTCACTCACATTTGCAAATCAAGACTTCAATGTAAGTCAAAATTGCAAACATAGCATAAAAGTTCTTTGTGTTATAACAAATAATTAATTTCTACTTGTTACTATAATTTTGACAATAAAGAAAAATTCTCTAGGATGCTTCAACAAGTTGAATAATGCATGCAGTGTACCATCCTACACTAGAAGAAAAAAAAGTATGCCAGTTTTATACAATTTTGTGAAACAGCCCACGTTAAGCCAAGAAACATACATGCTACATTAAATAAGCACAATCTAATTCAAAATCACAATTCCACTTTTATGGTCAACAGAAGTTTTCAGAAGAAATATCTGCCAAAAATTGAACCATAAAAAGTCAACATCATTTTTTTCTCAATTAAAATCAATCATTTACAACACATTTAAGAATTATTAATATACATAAGACAATATATCTTTAAAAAATATGTCAAGGTAGAGGAAAGAATCTCAAAATCAAATAACTTCAATAAGAACAAATGAAATGAAATAAAGTAAAAATAATTTGAAGCAGAGGAGTTGGTTCTAATTTCAGGGTAAATGTCTTTTAAAATCATTTCCCTAATACTATACTTAAATTGTACTCTGAACAAAGTTTCTTCTATCTTTGTCACTTTCTGCTTATCACAATCACATAAGTTGAAACTTGCTTGACTGTACTGCATTGAATAATGAACCATCTTTCCTATGAGGTGTTTCATTATTACTACTGCCTCATTAATAGCATTTCCAAGAAGTAGCTTCAAGGGTAAAACTATGTGAAACTTTGGGCAATTATCCTGTAAAGTTAGGTTTTTGGAGCGAATAATAGACATTTGCTATTTTTCTAAAACTTTTACAATTGTAATCTGTTAAATATTTTCTTTCTTTCTCACTATTATTCTAATTTCAACAAAAAGTCACAATAGATTCTTTCTTATTAATTTTTTAAATCTTTCCATTCTATTCTTCCTCCTTGCTATGAGGTTAAAATTTTGTATTTCCTTTCATTTTCAGTTGAGTTTACTGTATTCCTTTCCTGAGTAATGCTTGAATATTTTTATTCTAATTTTAAAACAGTAAGTTAGTGAATCTGATTTTAGCAATGAATCAGATTTACACTTAAGTAATGATTTTATTATGATATATTTTTATTTCAATGTTAATAACTTTATTATGATATATTTTAATTTCAGTGTTATTCTTTCTTTGAAGGACTTGCCTTTTGAATATTCACATTTAATTTATTGAGAAATATTATAAAATGCTATCCATCTAAGTATAAGGAAGCACTCTCTACTAAATTCTGCAACACATACAGTAGCAAACTTCCATTAATATTTGGGAAGTGCATGAATGACTTCTTTCCCTTTTCTAATGTATCAATTTCCATCCAAGTCCTGTGAAGTGAATTTCAAAGTTCTATACTGAAGGTCAAAGAGTTATAAAGTCCCAGAACTGTACTAAGGGCACACATCTCCTTTATAACTATACCTCAGTCTTCTCAACTGATATGCTTCTCCCACAGAGGTTTGAAGGAAAGAGCTTATTTAACATATTAGATATAATTTTGCTAGATAATAACCCCAGCTCCTTTTTTCCTCTCCAAACACTGAAATTTAGGGGGGAAATAACTAATTAATATTAATAATGTAGGCTGCTTCAACTGATTTTAGCATTTGACAAAAAAATTGCTGGTTGGGAACTTACTGTGAAAGCAAACATTATTTAACTTCCTCACTATAGATTTTCCTTAGTTTCCTAGAAATGAGAGAATATTGAGTTTAGGAATATTTTATAATGGAGGGCTAACTGAATTAGGAAAAGAATATTTTATATTATTCATTTATTTATTAAAAAATATATGAAGCAACAGCATCGACGGCTATATGTTGAACTGCATCAACCCCATACTTGAAAACAAGAACATGGTCATGAAATCAACACTCTGGTGAAAGTTCCAATTTAAATTCTAATATGCTGCAAATTATCATGTTTGGCCTTGGCATTATGAATGGAATATAAGGCACTGATTACAGGTAACTTATGTCACTTCCTTTGCTTGACTGTTCGAATGATGCTTAGCAGGTTTTGGAATGCAAGTGTAATAGGCTATAGAGCAGGCAGAGATATGATGATACAGGCCCATCTTCTAAGACAAGTCTAAATACAGAACACCCAAATATTCCGTTAGACTCAATGCCAAAATCTTGGTTCAGACTTAAATCTCTTACCTATTGAGTTTCTCTAATAAATTCTAAAGAGATCTCTTGGATAATAGTTCCTTTTTGCTCATTTATCCTTTAAGGTTCTATCTGAATGATTTTTTTCCCTGTCTTGAGTTTCCTCCCATTGCATATTGCTACCTCCAAGAAATCATCCAGTTTCTTAGAATGGTGTCTGTGCCTTCACAATCTCGTCCCAGTCTCCCTTCACCACTCACCAGCCCTAGACTCCTGGTACACCAAACTTATTGTTCTCTAGACTCAGCATCGATATATGGAATACCAACACCTCTTCTCTGGTGAATACCTGATTACAATTATGGGAAAACCAAATGTCAGTTCCTTTCTTACAAACTTTCTTACAAACTTTTCTTGTCTTCAGAAACCACTCTTTCAGGATTTGAACCTAATTATACAAGGTGATGTAAGCCTGAGGTCACTTCTAAAACCAAAGACTCTGTTTTGCTCATTCTTCAACAACATTTGAAAATCTACAAAGGATATGGCATTATATTTAATAATGAAAATACCAAAATGAGATTTGAACTGTGCAGTCTTGTGGGAGGTAAATAAAGACATGAACAGATGATTGGAATCCCTTGTGATAAGTTTTGTGGTGCAGAAATTCACATGGAATGCTGTGGGGAAAAGGGCAGAGGCAGGAGAGCACCAAATGTCATAGAGGCCCAAGGTCCTCCCAAACCAGCAAACACATTGCCTGACTTACTAGGTTCTTACTAAACATGCTGTGAATGAATGAATGAATGAATGAACAGACAAAGCCAACCTGGATGTCTCATTTCTATTTGATATCAAATGCCTTGCCTTCTCAAACTTTTTGGTCAGATACAGATTTGGAGGTCAGGCAGAAAGATTATTTTTTCAATACTTTATCCTTTCCACGTTATTTATTCATGTATTGTTGGGAGTTATTATGATCTTAGTATTGTTTATAGCAGAGATTCAAGGCTCTGACATTCTCTGCTTTAAACCTGAAAACTTCTTCCCTCTTGATGGCATCATTTGCCAATACCTCTAAATCTTCTCTCAAAATGCATCTGGAAAAAAGGTATTCATTCTAAATTTCCAATAAAATATAATAATGTATGCTTCTTAATTACAATGCAAATTATAGACATATTGCCAGTTTCTAGAAAATACACAGATAAAGGAACACATTCAAGCACCACGAACAAACACTAAGACAAATTCTGGATGTGGAGCATTTTACATGATAACATGATACCTGATAAAGCCAATGGCATGTGGCGAGATTTCACAATTTCAACATTTTTTTCCTGTATCTGGTTAAAGATGGCCATGAACTCCATGCATGGTGTCACATATTAAATGCCTAAGTATGGAGTCTGATGCAGTTTGGATAACAATGGTGCAGAATTTTCTCTTTCAAACTGTCTGGTGATTGATGGTGAACTATTCTAAAATTTCTCTACTCTTGAATGGTCTAGGATCATTTACCTATTTTTTTTTTATTGATTTTTTTTTTTTTTTTGACAGGCAGAGTGGACAGTGAGAGAGAGAGACAGAGAGAAAGGTCTTCCTTTTTGCCGTTGGTTCACCCTCCAATGGCCGCCTTGGCCGGCGCGCTGCGGCCGGCGCACCGCGCTGATCCGATGGCAGGAGCCAGGAGCCAGGTGCTTTTCCTGGTCTCCCATGGGGTGCAGGGCCCAAGCACCTGGGCCATCCTCCACTGCACTCCCTGGCCACAGCAGAGAGCTGGCCTGGAACAGGGGCAACCGGGACAGAATCCAGCACCCCAACCGGGACTAGAACCCGGTGTGCCGGCGCCGCTAGGCGGAGGATTAGCCTAGTGAGCCGCGGCGCCGGCCCTTAGGATCATTTACCTATTGTATTCTATAGTATTGTAATGGGCTTCAAAGTGAAAAAACTCAAGCAAACTGATCTGTAAGATCTTAAACATATCATAACTTTTTTAATAGAGAGCTATGAATTTGCTTTTAAAATTTTAATTAACAAAGTAACTTTTGATTCTCATTTACCATTGCCAGGCATTTACTCTATAGAATAAATTTTACCTTTAGAAAAAGATTGCTTTAACAAGTGTTATACCTCTCTCCCTGTTAGAAAAAAAATATCTTCTAAATTTACAACAAGGAAATTTTTCTTGGAAACTGCTATAGAAAAAAATTCCTAATACTTTTTTACAAGTTTTTCATATGCATGCCTGTGACTTGCTGACACTACATTTTCAGATTAAAGAAAAATAAAAATAAATACCACTCTGAAGTATAAAGAAGAAAACATCTTAAAGATAAAAAAATAATTTCAGGGAGGGAAAAATGCATGGAATTATTAAAGAACTTAAAACAAAATTTAAGAGGTATCCAGTTGCATTTCCAAGTTTTACCTTTTTAAAAATTTAGCAAAAGAGAAGGTAGAAAATATTATAGTAAATATGCACTGTAATATATTCTCAAAGTTAAATATAGCATAAATACATTTGATATGCAATAATTTTAAGACATTTTATGTGACTGTTTTAAAATATAACTTACTAATACTTCTCCTGAAATACATAAAAACTCAGTGTAAAAAGAAAATGACTTTTGTGGTAAAAATCAAACTTAAGCCAGATAACAAATATTCAATGTTTGAAAATAGGTTTTGGATATTTCCATAGTTTAAGTGGTATGTATTTTATGGAGATAGCAATTTTGTTGAAGAATTTAGGGAATATACAAATTAAGTATAATTTTGGAAAATGTCCAGAATTAGAGCAAACTTCTTTATTCATGGTGTAATGATCTTTCAATGTACTTTGAAATTCATGCATTTTCTATAGATGTTTAAATTATAGCTTTCCCTTCAAACGAAATTTCCTAAAGAATATTCTGCATGGCTTAATTTGAGTGTTCAGCAGCCATCTGTAATAACTACATACTCAATTAAGAGATAATGATGGTTGTAAATCAACATTTACTGAACAATTCTGATGTGTTAAGGGAATGTGTTGCTTCAAAAGGTCATGTTTTAGTTGCAGGGATTTTACTGTTTAAAATCTTATTTATAAGATTACAGACTCTCATGTTCACATATAGCATCAACAGAAAATAACCTGAAAACAAAGGCTTTGGGAAGCATTTCAGATTAGGTGCTTTTTATTGGGTTGAGAGGTCTGTGCTGGTCTCACATTTACTCAGAGGTTTGTGACACATGTTTCATTCACCAGATCTTAATTTATTTTGAGGACAGTAGTCCACAATAGTAGAGAGGTAGTATGTTTGCAAAACAGAAGACATTCATGGGGCTGTGGCTGTGGCATAGCAAGTGCCCACACCCCATGTGGGCACCAGATCAAGTCCTGGCTGCTCCACTTCCACTTCAGCTCTCTGCTATGGCCTGGGAAAGCAATAGAACATGGCCCAAGTCCTTGGGCCCCTGCACCCATGTGGGAGACCTGGAAGAAACTCCTGGCTCCTGGCTTCGGATCAGCACAGCTCCAGCCTTTATGGCCGATTGAGGATTGAACCAGTGATAGAAGACCTCTCGCTCTATTTCTGCTTCTCCTTCTCTCTGTGTATAATTCTGACTTTCAAATAAATGAATTAATTTTACCAAAAAAAAAAAACACTTTAATTTCAGTCCTGTTAGTGCATTCACTTATTATGCGCTAAGTTACTGTTATTTCTGGAAATTATGTTTTCTTTTTTCTAAAAAAAAAGAAAGCTTAAAAATACATTTTTCTGGGGCTGGTGTTGTGGTTCAGCAGGTTAAGCTACCAGCGGAGACACCATCATCCTATATGAGCACCAGTGCTCTGCTTCCAATCCAGCTCCCTGCTAATGCACAGGGAAAGCAGCACAAGATGGCTCAAGTACGTTGGCCACTGCCACCCACTTGGAAGATATAAACGGAGTTCCTGGCCTCTCTTCAGCCTGGTCCAACCAAGATTTTTGCAACCATTTGGGGGAGTGAAATAGCAGAAGGAACAGCTCTCTCTCTTTTTCTGTAACTTTGCTTATTAATTAAACAAAATAAATTTTTTTAAAAAATTCTTAAGACTTCTAGTTAAGTTAATTGTGAAAGAAATCACTTTAAGGTTTAAGACATATTAAATGGGTAAAAAGGACAATTTCAATTAACTAGTAATTATGATTGACATTGAAGCAGTTTATGCGACAGGATATAATGTCAGTGTGAGGATATATTTTTAACTTCTTCACTTCAGAATATGTACTACCTTTGTACACACATACACATGTTTCAATGAGATAAATGATTCATTCATTGTCAGTGTATTTATCACTGAAATTGTTCCAAAAAGAGGATAGTATAATGTTAATGTTTAGTTTTCAGCATAATTGTAGGTTATTCTTTCAATTAAAGAAATGTTACAATGGCATATAATAGGCATTCCGCAGATACCTACTCAATGAACAATAAACTGATATATTTGTCACTAACACACCTTTCCAGATTTAAATCAGAATATCCATCACATATTGCAATCACCCAGCTTGGTACACATATTATTTGTAACAATGTATGCATTTAATTTTTGTTATATCCTTAAATAATTTCTGTATAATACAGCAAATTACTTCATTAGTATACCGATGTAAAAAAAAAAGGCAACATTAGAACAGTCAAAGTAAATTCTTAATTTGAAGACTTTCTGCAAAATGTTCATCAATGATTAACGAAAACACTTAAAAACTCTTACAGGGTACAATAATCATCAAAGCACTATAGAAAGAACAATCTTTGAAACATTCCCTTAGGTTGCTATAACTCACCCTTGGAAGGTTTTTACTTAATTCTGTAATAGTATAACGGGATTTTTAACTTATTTACAAATAATTACATCATGTGGAAAAGTGGAGGTAGTATGACACAGTATGCTATGTAAAATATTGGAAAAAGAATCTTGGTTCTATTCCTAGATACGTCATGTTCTGGGGAAATGTCTTGTACATCAGGAGTGACATGATCTTTACCATTTTAATGAGACTGTGTGAAAAATAAAAGAAATATAGGAATGAAATTTAGAATAAACTACAAAAAAGAAACTTTAACAAATAAAAAGAAATCCTCACTTTGTCAACTAGTATTTATTTAAGCTTTTCATTTGTTTCAGATGTTATGCTAAATTTTTCTAGTGGATTAAATAATTTGATTTTAGCATTCCCATGCATAAGAATTGCTGTAATCCCCATTGTACAGAGCAGGAAGCATGGCCACAAGTTGTTGTATAGGGGCAGATACTGTGACACTGCAGGGTAAGCCAACACTTGGGATGCCTATATATCATATTGAGTGCCAGTTCAAATTCTGATTATTCCACTTCCAATCCAACTTTCTGCTAATACATCCTGGGAGGAAGCAGATGATGTCTCAAGTGCTTGGTCCCCTGCCACCCAAGTAGAAGACTTGGATGGAGTTCCTGGCTCCTAGCCGCGGACTACACCATCCCTGGTCGTTGCAGGCACTTGGAGAATAAACTAGTGAATGAAAGGTTTCTCTGCTTTTGGTCTCTGTATCTCTCTTGTCTCTCTCTCTCTCCCCCTTTCTCTGTGATTCTGATTTTAAGTAGATGAAAATAAATACATGAACATGTTTATAAGTTATTAGATAAATTATTATACACATAAGAACATTTTATTTTAAAATTAAATGTAAAAACATATACATGGAATTTTAAGATTTACTGTGCAGTTTCTTTCAAGAAATCTGCATTTGTGTTATCAGCAGTAACTTGAAACTTATGTCTAAGATAATTTGATAAACTATGTGGAACATATGTGTGTATATACAAGTCAAATATACCTCTGCAATACACACATACATGAATAAAATAACATTATTCACAAATAAATTCTTTAGAGTTCTGTTCACATTGGAATTGTTTTTAGGAAAAATTAGTTTGTGAAAATGACCAGGATGTGAAGTATACCAAGTCAGTTTTGGTTTGTCAAAAAATTTTACAATCTTTTTGAAATATATTATTGTACAGAGATCATTTCTTCCTGGAAAGCCACATAAAATTCTTATAAATAGAGCCAACAATGAAATACAATTATATGTACATTTTTAAAATAAGGAGGTGAAAAAGGAAAATATGTTCAAACATATGTAAAATAAGATGAATTCCCCAACTAATATCTTGAGTTCAGCGCACAGTTCAGTTCACTAATCTCATAAAGATGCATCTACATGAATCAAGAAAACTTTGGAATTCACATGCTTTCAATTCTTTGACTATATTCTGTAAAATGTTCTTTAGAAGCAACGTGATCTGTAAGGAGAGTAGTAGCATATTGCTGATTCCCCATTGAGAACAGCTGAATGTACACCCAGTCCTCATCTCTCCAGCAGTCCTGGCACTTCATCCAGATTGTGAAGCCTGAGCCAAAAGCCCCAGAAACAGATTCAGGAAAATGAGCTTTACCTGCCACCTAAAGAAGCCCTGGAGCTTGGACTAACAGTGTTCTCCTAATATGTAAACTAATTCCAAAACTCTGATCATTGTCTTTCATTGATGGTTTGTGGAGAGCTCCTACTTAATTAAAACTTCCTGTGACTGCTTTTTGTAAAACATGAGGGAGCAGGGCCCAAGGACTTGGGCCATCCTCTACTGCACTCCCTGGCCACAGCAGAGCACCTGGCTCCTGCCATCAGATCAGCATGGTGTGCCGGCCGCAGTGCGCCGGCCGTGGAGGCCATCGGAGGGTGAACCAATGGCAAAGGAAGACCTTTCTCTCTGTCTCTCTCTCTCTCACTGTCCACTCTGCCGTGTCCATTCAAATATGATGAAAGAAATACACAAAAAAAAGAAATATACCATGAGGGAGGATAGGCAATACTATTGGAACCACTATTAGCTGCTTTGTCATCCACTCACCTGTGAAGCTCATTGTTTTTTAGATTGCACAAAATGAAAACAAGCATATTTCAAAATATTTCAACTTTCTGAGCTCATTAAAATAACTTTCTTGGGGCAGTGGGTTAAGCCACCTCCTAATAATCCAGCATCCAAGTGAGTGCTGGTTCAAGTCCCAGGTGCTCCACTTCTGATTTAGCTTCCTGCTAAATTATGTGGGAAAGTAGCAGAATATGGCCCAAGTGTTTGGGCCCCTGCTACCCACGTGGGAAGCTTGCATCAGTGATTTTTTTAAAAAATTATTATGTTTACATTGCTCTTTATGTATTTATTTGAGAGGTAGTCACAGACAGTGAGAGGGAGAGTGTGGATGATCCTGTTCCTGGCTGGGAGACTGACTGCCTAGCCCACACAGGAGGTCTCCCATCCGCTGGTTCACTGCCCAAATGGCTGCAATGTCTGGAGTTGAGCCAATCCAAAGCCAGGAGTCATGAGCTTCTTC